TGTAGAAATGCACAGAGTGATTAGGTAGAGTAGGTGCCTCGCGCCTTCTAGGTTTGGGGCCGAAAGACTGCAACCTGTTGGTTGGAGATATTGAAGGATATGACCGTTAACCGACAGCAGTGGCTTGCTTGTCATTTCTTATCCGGCCAGAATGCTTAAAACGGTATGTATGCAGAGTTTGATTGTGTACTCTGTTTGTTGACCATGGAGGTTCAATTTCTTCTCCGTTGCTCAAAATAGATCCAATCCCTGCCCACCTTACCCATTACCACTAAATTGGTATGCATTTCGAGCTTGGCAGCGGTCAGTGAATTTTGCCTCACTGTATGTTGCTGAACAATGATGATGATAGTGATATCGTTGATCCAAAATAAAAGCGACTGGTATTTGCCGTCTTCAATGGAAGTCGATCTATCATCACCCACCGGTGACTCCTGCTTATGTCTCACACCCATATCAAGGGTCCTCGCAATCTATCTCTTTGGCTTCTACATTCCTATGTTTTGCGGAAGTCGACTGGCATTAGGAACGACTCAATTCGGTCTGAAATTTTCGCCTAGTCGGTATCATCACTTCCGGCTTCGGTCGACAACGCCTCTTTCTAACTGATGGGAGTGCCCAGAGTTACTCACATAACTTTTTCTTTCCAACATTAAGTGAATCCAACCAATCGCATTCCGCTGGGAACACCACAAGATGATTAGTTTTTCGGCCGTCAAACGTTACCGAATGGGGTCGCAAACAGTGCAAACTAATAACTACCGGAATTTATTCCAGTTCAGGCAACATAGCCACGAACGGTTCGATTTATGTTCATTCCCGATGGAGGAGTCATCTTTGATGTGTGGCGAGTGATTCGAGGGGAGAAACTGACTACAGTAGTCACATCCATCATCTGATGCATGTTCACTATCTCGTCAAGTGTGCCTTTCAATGTCAGAAATATGTAAACAATAACATTTGACTGATCACCGCTTCGTACACGGCTACGAGTTTACTTTCATTCAATCCAGTTCTGTGGGCTCCATCTTGTGATATTAGTCGCTTGGAAGTCACTCGTTCATATCGTTCTATTTTCTGTTTTCTGCGAAGCTTTGGGATTTACTCATTTGTGCAAAATTGTGCAATTTTATTCGCTGTCAATATTGTGATATCGCTCGAGAGGAAATTTAACAACCTTTTCAACGAGTCTTGATTGAGCGTTCTAAGTTCAATTGCAAGCATTATACCGACATATCTGTGCTGTTCAGTGCAATCTTTGCTACCACCGCAGTCGTACTTGTGTTTGTTCCCCTGCGGCCAGAAAAGGCAATCGATACTCCCAACGTGACCTTTGTCATTTTTCTGTGCACTTGTGAGCTCCACTAACTCGGTCGAGTGAGCGACCGAGACAACAAAACGGAACGTCGCAATGACAACAAGCGCTCACAAAGAATGGCCACCAGAATGGTCAAGGGACTGCATTCCATGAGTTACACGGAAAGACTGGAATCACTGCAACTGTACACACAGTACCACACAGTATCGCCACATTCAAGGGGACTTGATCTTGGTGTATCAAATAACGCAGGACCCAGATCACCCAGGTAGTTCATTGTCTGTCTTGTGCTCCAAAATTGCCGGTGGCATTCATTCACCCTCAGAGTGTGCACTTCTTAGAATTACCTACCACCACACGTTGTTTCTACGCCCACAATTGATTCATTCAAGCACAAACTGGATGAAGATTTAACAAGTCTTTAATTCCAGCATTCGTAGCCGTGTCCAAAGCGGTGTTGAATTGTTATTCGTTTACTTTCAATGAACCGTGAATCGATGCATCGGTGTAATCGCTATGAGACTAAAAAAGGACTGCTTGTGAACATTTCGCCTGATAAATGTTGAACTTGGGATAATAAATTTAAATGCTTTGGGGATTGGTACGATTGTGACCGGTCTCCTATGTAGAAGTGTGAAGGGATTCATTTACAATGGAGGTAATTGCCCCAGCTAGGGAAGCAGCATCAAATTTGAAGAGGGCTGGATGTAAGTCATCCGGGCCTGCAGCAGAAAACGATTTGCAACTTTTAAAAAGTTTTAGCACATCACAATATGAGAATGGTTCCACGTTACAAACATTTTGTGACGAGTAGGCCGGAGGAATGTCCGATGATTGGCGCAGGAATGCGGCATTAAGATCATCAGCGTCCACATCTACTTTCGACCGTCCTTTCTTCCTTCCACAGAGAAGTCTTATACCTTGCCACAGGTGTTTGCTGTTTCCAGTCCTGAGAATTCGACCAGAGAATAATGCGTTCAATCTATTTACTTCAGCTTTGATAAGCCTGAAGCTGAAGCATTGTGAGACTTGTACGCACGTTCCTTTTGTCGTCGCAGCGACTTTAGTAGGGGAGAGTTTATCCTTCCGTTGGACACATAGGCTATGAACAGGGCA